GTGTGTGTGTGTGTGTGTGTGTGTGTGTGTGTGTGTGGCCCGTGCTTCACATCAACTTTTTCAAGGTTCTTTACATAGGGAAAAAATCATTATTTGCTAACAAAAGAATGATCCTGGGGTGAAGTCCCACCGCCCAAGTTAAGTTTAGAAAACGCAACGGTGTGACACCATTTCCACATTAATAAATTCGAAACAAGAAATTAAAAAACTGAAAAAAACGCTACATAGTAAAAACAGCTTTTCTCCTTATTTTTGATAATGTTAAAAAACTGAAAAAAACGCTACATAGTAAAAACAGCTTTTCTCCTTATTTTTGATAATGTAACTCGGAGAAATGAAACACATCTGGCACAGTCGGAGTGAATGTTGCCGTGGATAAGGGATACTCCCCGTGAGGGGACAGGAGGTCACCATTCGTAAAATGGACAGGGACAACATGGATGGCCAAATGCGTTCATTGCCCAAAGAAGGAAACGAGTTAGATGCCAGAGAGCCAAACACAGCTGTCAGAGTTCCTCCGTTTCAGGATGTAATGATGTCTAAAAAAACAAAAAAAAGAAAGGCACGTAAGTTGAGAAATCTACCCTGGGGGGTAGGGGGGAAGGGGGGAAGGGGGGTAGGGTAGTTTTTTCAACTTAAAATGGTTTCCCGCCCAAGCCGAAAGGGCCAAAGCATACTACAAAACGGATTTCACGTCAAATAAAAAATCTACAGAATGACCAAATCTAATATTAGGTTATGCTCCTGTATTTCCGCACCATTAGATTTGCAATACATCAACGGCAGAGCTCCATCCCAGCATGCCACACGTGATAGAAAGCTCAGCGTTGAGAAAACTCAACTTGGGCGGTGGGACTTCACCCCTGGGCATGTTTCCCTGGCAATGGAACAGGAATCCCCGGAGAAAGAAAAAGAGGAAAAACTCTTTTGTTTTTCGTTCTGGAAGACAGAGCATTAGGACGAGCAATTTATCTTTGTGAGGCCCTCCCTCTCCCTCTCTTTACAGAGAGAACTTAGGGAATGCCTGTGCTGAGTCTGCAACCATTGATCCATCCTGTGAGCACATCAAACGACAGCACGAGGGGAACCCTTGTCTGCTAAGGTTTACTTTACTGACCATTGAGGTGAGGTTGCTTGGCATATGTCATGAAGAACTGACTTCCAGACGTATTTGGCCCACTATTGGCCATCGACATTATTCCCCTTGCATTATGCTGAAGACAAATCAAACACAACCGCCCAAGGATAACGAGTGGCATCAGCAGTGAAAAACATAAAAAAAAATATATATATATATATATCGTGTATATATATATCGTCAAATAGAACTGCCCGGTAAACTGTAGGCAGAGAGGGAGAAGAGGACAACAAACGAGGGGCTGTGACAAACTGTTTCGTCGGATGTATATATGTATATATATTATATATATCGTCAAATAGAACTGCCCGGTAAACCGTAGGCAGAGAGGGAGAAGAGGACAACAAACGAGGGGCTGTGACAAACTGTTTCATCGGTTTATACACACATAATACCCCCTCGTTTGTTGTCCTCTTCTCCCTCTCTGCCTACGGTTTA